TTTCAGAAGAATAAAAAAAATATGTAAAATGTGAAATCCAGTTATTTTAAATTCCACTATTGAAAACATGATTCTGAGAGTTTTATAAGATAATGTGACCAGATATATTTCACCGTTCTATACTGATAATAGACTATAGATTTAACTTCAAGTGCACCTTTTATTAATGAAATATTTTATTCTCTCGTTCTTTTACATAAAATTTGCAATTTACATTTTCAGGAAATAAAGTTACAGCGACTTCATTGGAATGTTTCAAAAATAAGTAACATGTCAAGATCTACGGCAGTACATCTTTTTATAAAATGTTTCTTTTTGTACTCATTCCTGGTTTGTATTCAGATTCACTCTCGAAATATAAAATTTATTTGATATATCAAATTCTAAGTGCAACTTTTAAAATATATTTTTTAATAGTGGGATTATTTGTGTGTTGTTAAGCACAAAACTACACAATGGGCTGTCCATGCTCTGCCCACTCATGGGTACTGACACCCAATTTTTAGTGTTATAAGCACTCAGCCTTAATGCTAAGCCTTTAATTGTGGGAAAGCTTGTGTTCAATAAATACTTTGTGGAGTTATCTCGAGGGTTTATTTTTTAAACCCTAAGTATGTGTCACAGAAGTAAAAATGTATCTTTAAAACTAAGCAATCTAGAGCATCAGAAAACTCAATACTTTGAAAAACGTGTCCACATTTCTAATTGTGTTAATTAGCAAATCTTTTGAACTTGAATGAGTATAAAATTCAAAATTATTCTGATTTTGACAAATACTATGTCATCCAAGAGCGACCAAGAAAAAAATCCACAGAATCGATTAAATAAAGACAAAAGGACAAAATTATGTAATCAAAACGCATGTAGAAGCAAGAAATATCTTTAAAGAAATTCAATCACCCATAAAACTTTATAATAAAACTGACAAAATGTATTTACAAATGAATAAGAAAACAGCATGGTGTATTATCATTTATGTACAATAAAAATAATTCATATTACGTAATAATTTACCTCAAGTAAGATCTTCTTATAAAGCATATACTAAGACAGACACAGTTTACATCAAGTTTATGGTACCAAAAAAAAATCATGTTATGTTCCTCTCATGATTTCATACTCACTAGCCTTCAAGTAAACCAAGCAGTTATTGGATGGTACTGTTTTGTCAGTTCAAGTACAAGGTATTTTGAACCTCGAGGGAAAGCTACATCGAAACGAACACTGGGTAATTTTTCTGGTTTTGGAGTCTTGTTACATCAGAATAGGCACTGACTAATTGAAGCAATTTCAGGGTCCTGTCAAACCGAGTTCAGAACAGAGACCCTTTCCTG